GGCCTCTGGAGTGCCGGTCACCAGGGTGCATCAGGGCAAAGATGGTGTCAGGGAAGGGGGCTGGAGAGTGGCCATCAGCTTGAACCAACCTGAGCCCGAGCCCTGCCTCTCTCAGCCGGAAGCCTGCGGGGCCTCAGCCCCAGCCCCCCCGGCCCTCACCAAAGATGCCTGGGAGTCGGCAGTCCTGCAGCAGCTCGTTGGTTTTCTTCAGTTGCCTCCTCCTCAGTGGCCTCACTGCCTGAGGGATGCAGACGGGATTCTGACTGGCCCTGAAGAAAATGACCACAAAAGGCTGTCGGGAGCGTGGGGCCTGTTGGCCCAGCAGGCCAGCCAGGCCAGGATCCATGCTGTACCCTGGGACAGAAAGGAGAGAGGAGTCACTCAAGGGCAGTGGGCCTGCAGTGGACACAGCAGGGATCTCTCTGCTGGGCCTGGGCAGGTCCAGGAGTGTGGAGGCCGAGGATCCCAGGGGCTCTGCTGAGCCTCACACATTTGAAGCCTGGAGCCCTTGGTCCAGCCCCGGCCAGTCCACATCTGTCCTGGGGCAGATCTGGAGGAAGTGGGGTAGGGGGAGGGCCTCGGTGAGCTGCAGGCGGCATCATTAGTGACAGCTGTGACACAGACATTTATGAAGCACTTTACGAGTTTGAAGATTTTTTTCCCCACAGATCACCTCATTGGGTCCTTACGGTAACCTTGCAGCTCCTACCTCACAGGAGACCCAGAGTCCCACTGCCAGTGACTACCAGAAACAGCGCTCCCACGTCGGTCCGAGGACCCCAAGGCCTGTCTTCCATTCTGCACTTTCTGGGGTGTGAACATCAAATTTATGACCAAGACAGCTTGTGGCAGCATCTGCCAAGTTAGGGAGTGCTTGCTCATGCCAAAAGCAGGGCATGAACTATTTCCCTGATGCCCGCAAGGGAGGCACTGGCGGAGCAGAGTCATTGGAACCAAGTCCCAGAGCCCAGGTTTCAGCCTGCAGTAGTCTCATTCCAGAGCCCAAGTTCTTCTGTACAAGGCTGGGTTTATGCACAAAAAGAAAGAAAGAAAAGGCTGAAGCAGAGAGCTGACTTGGTCCTCAGCCCCAGGAAGATCGAAGCCTATAAACGGAATTGTCCCCCACTGCTGCTTCCAGACTGAGGATGCTGCTAAAAACACGATAACTAACCCTGGAGATGCCAATCTCACCAATAAACCTGTACTTGTTTGGATTTCAATAACCTTTCTATTGTAAAAGCAATTAACTTAAGAAACTTTTGAGGCTAGGCAAGGTAGCTCACACCTATAATCTCAGCACTTTAAGAAGACAAGGTGAGAGGACTACTTGAACCTAGGCATTTGAGGCCAGCCTGGGCAACATAGTAAGACCCTGTCTCAACAAAAAAAATAAAAACAAAAATTAGTTGGGCATGGTGGTGAACTACCCAGGAGGCTGATGTGGGAGGACTGCTTGAGGCGGGAGTTGAGGCTGCAGTGAGCTGTGATTGTGTCACTACACTCCAGCTGGGCGACAGAGTGAGATTCTGTTTCAAGAAAAAAAAAACAAAAAACAAAACTTTTCTCATTGTTCAAAGAAGTCTCCACAATAAACATTTCAAATGTATAAAATCCCTTGGAGCAGTATACCATAATGTACTTGATATTGGCTCATGAATAGACATGTGGGTTATTTCCTGGTTTTCACAATAAAGATGGGAGCCTCTTCACTTGGTGCATAGGTGAAATTTCCTGATGCTGAGTTGCAAAAGCATGGTTGCCAGCTCATTTTCATGTCTCTTTAAACAGTGCCAATTGTTCAGTTTACACGAGACCACATTTCACCTCCAAGCAAAGATGTATGCATGTATGTACACGCATGCATATATGTGTGTCTGTATAAATACAGATGTACATATGCTTAGACATGATGCATATAGATGTATTTATTCCTACCTGGTTCTCCAGTACACCCTACAGGCCAAGGACATTGCCTGCCCCACCCTCAGTCCCACTCAAAGGTCAGCCCTGAAGCAGCTGTGCCTCAGCCCCATTGTCCCTTGGCCACTTGATTGAACAACCAGTGAATCCAGAGACCAACCTTTGACCTATAACATCATCTGCCACAGAAAAATTCGCTGGCAGGAGAGGCTCTCTCTCAGGAGCGTGGACAAGAGCTGCTGAGACGGAGGCTGTGAGCTGCAGGCGCTGACGGGAAGGAGGCCCAGAGAGCACTGGGCAGAGCTCGGCTCATGGTGAGTCAAGGTTATGGGGAAGCAGCAGAATTACAAGGAACAGAGCTGGCTGCAGAGGAAAAGGCAAGTGAGGCCACAATGGGGACAGAGCAGCCGAGTGGGGTGGTGATGGTCACCAGCCCAGGCACAGGAACAGCACTCTTCAGACTGGCAGACACATGGGGATGGCCTGGGGCCCAGGGCAGCCCTCCCGGCTGTATGTGCAGCTCTGTCCTGATTCCCTGGGGAGCCCTGGTGGCCATGGGGCCAGGGATGCCATCAGTCCCACAGGCTTTGCTCACTATTTGCTATTGTGGGGCTGTGTTCAGGAGTCTGATGGGGGTCTCCCAGATGCAGGATAGAATGTTGCATTAGATCAGTTACACCATAGACTCTCACAGAGCCCCTGTGGGCCAGGCCTGGCTTGGGTGCTGGGAACCCCTCTGTAGGTCTCACAGGCCAGGTGAGCCTGACTGGGGACCCTTGGAAGCAGCTAATCCCAGGTTCCCATTTTAGAGAAGTGGAAACTAAGGCCCAGAGAGCAGCAACTGTCCAAGGTCCTGCAAGGTGGGTCAGAGCCAGGACTATCATACACTTTGCCAGCACACCGCAGGGGCCGGGCTGGATGTGGCCAGGGGGAATTGGAGGTGGCAAAAGAGGACTAACAGTGGGTCTCAGTTCAAAGCTCTGCATCTGGCAGGCCTGGAGAAGCTCACTCACCTCCACCCCTCTCCTTCCAGAGCCCAGAGCCTCCCTTCTCCACCAGCTCAGCTTTTTGCCCACCCATCTTCGGGCAGGACCCCCTGGTTCTAGCTGGTTGCAGAGAAGGCCAGGCAGTCCAGGTAGGGGGCTCTCAGGATGCCCAGCTGTGGGCAGACCCCTTCCAGAAAGGCAGAGCTGGAGGCCCAGAGGGTCACTTGTCCTTTCCTAGATACCTCAGCCTTTTCCACACTGCGCTGGAAAACTCTTTGATGCCCAGGGCAAATCAGGTGGCCCTTTCCAGGAGCCCCAAAAGGCACCCCACTGCCCACCCAATGATATTTGATTTCAAGCCCCCACCCCAGCCATAGTCCCAGGCCCCTTTCCAACACCCTCAGGCTGTCTCCTCCGTGAGTGCCAACTCTCCCTTCCCTTCTCTCCTTCCTAGGATCTGGCCTTTCCTTCAGGGCGAGGCTCCAGTGAGCCCCTTGGAAAGTCTGTCCTTGACCAGTGAGAACTTACTGCTCTGACCACATGCCCCTATAGGCCTGGGAACTCCCAGAGCTACACTTATGCAGTTCATGCACCATGGCAGGCTTGGTTGTCAACAACACACACACACACACACACACACACACACACAGAATCTTTTCTTCATTTTAGGTTTTGAGACTCAGGAGGAAATGCCTCACAGCCTCTTGGGTTACAACAGAGCATCACACAAGAGGCCAGTTTGGGCCTCTGTTCCAGAGAGGAAGGTCTAAGTGTCTGGTCTAGATGACACAGGAACAATTCAAATGAAGTTGAGAAAACTCATCTAGTCCCTCAGTTAGGGTTCTAGAACTCCTGTCCTAGGCTGTAGCCTTTGGTCACAGACAGAAGAAGCTTCCTGGTGGATTTCAGCACCCACATTCTCTCACCACTCTGTCTCCCATCACCTGGTCCCTTCCCTTGGGGATGGTCCTGCTTTCCTTCTAGGGACATCTAGAAGCTTGATATCTCATTAGGTCCTAGGAGGAGAGATGTGGGAGGAGGAGGGGAGGCTGCAGGGAAACCCGATATAACAACAAAGGGGCCAGAAGAAACATCAGGGGAGATGAAGGATTAAAACGTTCAAGAAGTACGGGCACGGTGGCTCACACCTGTAATCCCAGCACTTTGGGAGGCCGTGGCAGGTGGATCACTCGAGGCCCAGAGTTTGAGACCAGCCTGGCCAATATGGTGAAATGCAATCTCTACTATTGGAAATATATATACAAAAAATAGCCAGCCGTGGTAGCATATCCTATAATCCCAGCTACTTAGGAGGCTCAGACACCAGAATTGCTTGAACCTGGGAGGCCGAGGTTGCAGTCAGCGAGATTGCACCGCTGTACTCTAGCCTAGGTAACAGAAAGAGACTCTGTCTAAAAAAAAAAAAGAAAAGAAAAGAAAAGAAAAGAAATTACAGTAAGTTAAGGTTAATTGCCCCAGCATGGTGGCTCACATCTGTAATCCTAGCACTTTGGGAGGCTGAGGCAGGTTGATGCTTGAGCCCAGGAGATAGAGACCAGCCTGGTAACATGGTGAAACTCCTTTCTACCAAAAAAAAAAAAAAAAAAAAAGAACAAAAAATTGACCAGGCATTGTTAATTTTTTCAATACACATGTGTGTGCCCATAGTTCCAGCTACTCAGGAGGCTGAGGTGGGAGGATTGCTTGGGCCCAGGAGGCAGAGGTTGCAGTGAGATCACACCACTGAACTCCAGCCTGAGTGACACAGCCAGACCCTGCCTCAAAAAAGAAAAACAAGTTTGTCAAGACAGCATGTCTTCAAATCACAAATTCACATCTTGGCTCGCCTATTTCTCATTGCAAGAGTAAAATGGCCCTTTCGGTGTACTCTGGGTGGAGTGATTTTCTCCCTTATCAGTTTTTCTTTCCATTTCACAGTTTGAGTACGGGGGAGGCGCTTGAATGAAATCCTGCCATGAATGTGCTTGGGCTGTGCACACTCCATGTAAATGTCACAGAACAAAGCAGACACCCATCCCTCACCACTACAGACCTGCACCTTGCAATGCTCGAGGAACACAGAGAAGAGCTGATGTTTTCCTTGTGTGTTTAATTAAAGTCCCAGCTCTCTAGAGGAGCACAGCCCACCTAGGGAGGAAAATTGGAGGCCAGCAGCAAACCCCTCCCAGCGCTGGGGAAATGTATTCCTGCGGTGATCAACGTCCCCTGGGGAACCTGGTGGGCCCCCCTGAGGAGCGCACCTCCCCACCCAGCTTTGCCTCCCTCAGGGTGCCACCTGATGCATGGGCCTGAGGTTCGGGCACACGGCAAAGTCACAGCCCGTGCTCTTTCTGATGTCGTCCACGGTCAGGTCCTCCCAGAGCTCCCTCAGGGTCAGGCCTCTCTTCCTGTGCACATCAAACACAGCCTTCTCCGTGATGATGCTGTCCACGCACCGCTTCCCAGTCAGCGGCATGGTGTATTTCTCCATGATTTTGGGGGTGTTGTCCTTTGCACAGTGCTGCATGGTGACCACCACTCTGATCTTCTGACTGGACACCATGTCCGTGGCATTGCCCATGCCTTTCACCTTCTTGCTAGGGATCATCCAGTTAGCCAGGTCGCCATTTTTGGAAACCCGCATGGCTCCGAGCATGGTTAGGTGGAGGCGTCCCCCTCGGATCATGGCGAAGGAGTCGTCGCTGGCGAAGCAGCTGCCCCCGGGAAGCACCGTGACCGTCTGCTTGCCTGTGTTGACGAGGTCGGGATCCACCTTGTCTTCCGTCGGAGATCTCTCAAATTAGACCCAATATTAAAATTTGAACTGGGCAAATTCTCATTAGAGACAAGGGGCCAAAGACTGTGCTGATGGAATCTAATGTCTTTTAATATTGACTTCAATGCAGAAAAGCCCTTGTTAAGCCATTTAACTGTAATATTGGGCCTTGGGGAGGCAGTGCACCCTGTGAAATTAGAGGTCAGGAGATTTGGATTTGATTTCCAGCTCTCTGTCAGTCAGCCACTCACTTTCAAGTGACAAGCCATAGGCGAGTCACTTTCTGTCTCTGTTTCTTGATTTTTGCACAGGGATTTATGTGGGCCTTAAGGCTACATATATATGGGCAGTCCATTGTTGGATGCATATATATTTACAATTGTTATGTCCTCTTGCCAAATTGACCCGCTTTATCATTATATAATGACCTTTTATTGTCTCTTCATACATTAAATGTAATGGCAAAAACCACAATTACTTTTGCACCAACCTAATAAGTTTTTGTCTTAAAATATTTTGTCGGATACAAGTATAGGTTCATTTCATTTACATGAAATGTTTTTTTTAAACCCTTTATTTTCGGTCTTTGTGTGTCTTTATAAAGTATGTTTTTTGTAGGCAACAGATCATTGGGTCTTGTTTTTTAATACATTTGACCACTCTATGTCTTCTGATTAGAGAGTTTAGTCCATTTCCATTCATTGTTATTACTGATAAGTAAGAACTTACTCTTGTCATTTTGCTATTTGTTTTCTGCTTATTTTGTTGTCTTCTTTTTTTTTTTTTTCCTTCCTGTTTTCCTTTTAGTGAAGATCATTTTCTCTGGTGGTATGTTTTAATTTTTTGCTTTTTATTTTTTGTGTATCCATTGTATGTTTTTTGATTGGAGGTTACCATGGGACTTGCAAATAACATGTTCTTTCATTTTACTTTTACTTTTTTTTTTTTTTTTAAAGAGAAAGAGTCTCACTTTGTCATTCAGGTTGGAGTGCAGTGGTATGAACATGGCTCACTGCAACCTTGATCTCCAGGGTTCAAGTGATCCTCCTGCCTCAGCTTCCCATGTAGCTGGGGCCACATGCATGCACCACTATGCCTGGCTAATATGTACAATTTTTGTAGAGACAGGGTCTCCTTATGTTTCCCAGGCTGTTCTCAAACTTCTGGGCTCAAGTGATGCTTTTGCAGTGGTCTCCCAAACTGCTGGTATTACAGGAGGGGGCCACCACACATAGGCCATTATTTTAGACAAATGCCTACTTAACCTTGATTGCAAAGACAAACAAGCAAGTAGAAAACTAATAAAAACTCCAAACTTTAAGTTTATACCCTTGATTTTAGCTTTCTGTTGTTTCTGTTTTTATCTTATTATACTGTTCTCTTGAAAAATCACAGTTACTATTTTAGATAGGTTCATCTTTTAGTCTTTCTACTCAAGAAATGAGTTTATACACCACAGCTACAGTGTTACAATATTCTGTTTTCCTGTATACTTATTATTACTAGTGAGTTTTGTATCTTCAGATAATTTGTTGTTGTTCATTAACATCCTTTCTTTCAGATTGAAGTACTCTCTTTAGCATTTCTTGTAGGACAGATCTGGTATTGACAAAATCTCAGGTTTTGTTTGTCTGGGAAAGTCTTTATTTCTCCTTCATGTTTGAAAGTATTTTTGTTGGATATACTATTCTAGGATGAAAGCTTTTTCCTTCACTAGTTTAAATATGTCATGCCACACTCTCCTGGCCTGTAAGGTTTCCACTGAGAAGTCTGCTGCCAGACATATTGAAGTTCCTTTGTATGTTATTTGCTCTTTTTCTTTTTCTGCCTTAGGCTCCTTTCTTTATCCTTGACCTTTGGGAGTTTTTTTTTTTTTAGACGGAGTTTTGCTCTTGTTACCCAGGCTGGAGTGCAATGGCGCAATCTCGGCTCACAGCAACTGCCACCTCCTGGGTTCAGGCAATTCTCCTGCCTCAGCCTTCTGAGTAGCTGGGATTACAGGCACGCGCCACCGTGCCCAGCTAATTTTTTGTGTTTTTAGTAGAGACGAGGTTTCACCATGTTGACCAGGATGGTCTCCATCTGTTGACCTCGTGATCCACCCACCTCAGCCTCCCAAAGTGCTGAGATTACAGGCATGAGCTACCACGCCCGGCTGATGTTTGGGAGTTTTATTATTAAATGTCTTCAGGTAGTCCTATGTGGGTTGAATTTGCTTGGTGGTTTATAGCCTTCTCCTGTTTGAATACTGATATCTTTCCCGAGTTTTGGGAAGTTCTCTGTTGTTATCTCTTTGAATAAACTTTTTTTTTACCCCATCTCTTTCTCTGTCTCCTCTTTAAAGACAATAAGTCTTAGATTTCCCCTTTTGAGGCTATTTTCCAGATCTTATAGATGTGGTTTTTTCTTTTGTCTCTTCTGACTGTGTATTTTCAAATAGCCTGTTTGAAGCTCACCAATTATTTATTCTGCTAGATTAGTTCTCCTATTAAAATTCTCTAATGCAGTCTTCAATAAGCCAATTATATTTTTTGGCTTTATTCTTTTATGTAATTTCAACTTTTTTGTTAAATTTATCTGATAGAATTCTGAATTCCTTCTCTAGTTATCTTGGATTTCATTGAGCTTTTCAAAACAGCTATTTTGAATTCTCTGTCTGAAAGCTCACATATCTCTGCGTTTTTGGAACTGGTCACTGGTACCTTATTTACTTTTTTTGATGAAGTTATGTTTTCTTGGATTGTCCTGGTGCTTATGGATGCTTGTGGGTGTCTGGGCATTGAAGCAGTTGGTATTTATTGTAGCTTTGCAGTCTGGACTTGTTTGTACTCCTCCTTCTCAGGAAGACTTTCTAGGTTTTTGAAGGGACTTGAGTGTGGTGGTCCAAGTCTTTGGTTATCACAACTGTATTTGTTTTAGGGGCACACTAAGCTACCCAGTAATACTGTGGCTTTTGTGGACTCATAGAGGTACTGCATTGGTGGTCTTGGCTAAGACCCAAGAGAATTCCCTGCATTACCAGACAGTCTCTGGTTCTTTTCCCTTATTTTCCTTGAAACAAATGGAGTCTCTCTCTTTGTGATGAGCTGCTGAAGCTGGAGGAAGAGTGACACATGCACCCCTATGGCCACCACCAGTGTGCTGGGTCAGACCCAAAGCCAGTACAACACTGGGTTACACCCAAGGCCTGCAGTGACCACTGCATGGCTACTGCCTATGCTCACTCAAGGTCCAAGGGTTCTACAATCATCATGTGGCAAATCTGGCCAGGATTGCATCCTTCTCTTCGTGTCTACAAGTTTCCCCCAGTTCCAATTGGGTCCAGAGATGCCATCTGAGAGCCAGGTCCTGGAGTTGAGAACCTTAGGAATCTACCTGATGCTTTATCCTGTCATGGCACAGCTTGGCATTAAAGCCACAAGATTCCTTCCCACTTTTCCCTCCCCTTCCCTCAAGCAGAGGAGTCTCTCTCCATGGCCACCACTGTCAAGGCCCATGGCAGGCACTGCCTAGGAACCAGTGACGTTGATTCAAGGCCAAGGGCATGTCAGTCAGCTTGAGGTAAATGTTGCCAGTGCTAAATCTCTCTTTTCAGGGCAGCGGGCTCCCCTCTGGCCCAGGGAAGGCCCCAAAATGCCATCCAGGAACCAAGGCCTGGATGTGGGGACTCCAGGAGTCCACTTGGTACTCTATCCCACTGTGGTCAAGCTGGTGCCCAGGCTGCAAGACAAAGTCCCCTTTACCCTTTCCACTCCTTTCCTGTAGTGGAACAGGTCTCCCCCAATAACTACCACAATTGGGAGTGTTCTGGGTCACATCTGAGGCCAGCACAGCTCTGAGTTTCACCCAAGGCCCACAACTAGTACTCCCTGGGTATCTTTAGTCAGCAGGTGATGAATCCTGCCAGGATGGACTGGGTTTTTCCCCCAGCATTGGTCACATGGCATGGAGAGAGAATCTGCAATTCAGAGAGGAAAAGCACAGTGATTATGGGACTTTGTATTGGAACTCAGCGCTGTGCTGTTACAGCAGAACTCAGCACCCACAGAGGGAGCATTTAGACCAGTCCCAGACAGAGGCAAATCATCCATCCCAGCAATTGAAACCTGAGTTCTTGCAACCCCTCCATCACAGAGTAAAGTACTCTGGGGTCCTAAATGAATTTGAATCTCAATCTAGTTCATGAAGGCTGTAATTTCTGAGCAAGTCCTGGTGCTGTGCTGGGCTCAGAGCCAGTGAACTGGGAGAGTATTCGACCTAGTGAGACAGCACTTGGGAAGCTGAGGGAGTGCTTGTGTCAACCCTCTCCCATCCCAGACAGCACAGCTCACAGTTCCAGGAAAGACTCCTGCTTGAGGAGATAACAGGGGAAAATAAAGATGACTTCATCTTACAACTTGGATACCAGCTCAGCCACAGTAGGATAGGGCACCAGACAGAGTTTTGAGGCCCCTATTCCAGGCGCTTGCTCCTAGACAACTTTTTTAGACCATCCTGGGCCAGAATGGAACCTGCAGCCTTGAAGGAAAAAACCCAATAGATTGTTAATCTACTGATTTTTCTTTTATAGTTTTTTTTTTCTTGACTGTGTTGGTAGTAAGCATAGAAATGACAACATGCATACCTAACTTATAAAAAAAATATAACTTAATATGTTTTTTTACTCTTTGATACACCGTAGAACATTTCAACATCAGTTATCCCTTCCCATGTTACTGTTATATGGTGTTTTAACTCTCCAGGTGTGCGTGTGTGTGTGTGTGTGTGTGTTTCACTAGACATTAAGTTTATATTTACCTATATGTGTATAATTTACCTTGCTCTCCATTTCTTCTTAAGTCTCAGTTGTCTATCTGGGATCATTTCCTTTTGCTTGAATGGTGTCTTTTAGAATTTCCTTCAGTGAGGGTCTTTTGGTCATGAATTTCAATTTTAGTTAGTTTGAAGAGTCTTTATTTCACTTTCACTTTTGAAAAATAGTTTTGCTGGGTATGGAATCTTAGGTTT